GTTGGCCAGGCTGGTCTTGAACTCCTCACCTCAAGTGATCCATCCACCTCAGCCTCCCAAAGTGCTGGGATTACAGACATGAACCACTATGTCTGGCCTGGAACTGAGTCTTCTGTGTGTCTAGATGGAGACCCCAGCAACCAGGCCAGGTGAGCAACAAAGAACTAGGCCTGGGTGGGTGATGAGTAGTAAAGATGCCCATCTTTGGAGCCCCACAGCCTTGGTCAGGACCACCGGCTTCCTCTAGACCAGTCCCTTGCCTCCCTGAGCCCCATTCATAAAATAGGGAGAGCTGGACCTGAGCTATTGTGGGCAGATCCTTGTTCTTGGCACAGCTAGAGCAGGTGACAATAAATATGGGTCTCTTTTCCCTTCAAGGCCTGGCTCGGCACCCTCAAGCCTGGTTCCCAGCGGCTATCAAGTCCAGGCCCCTGCAGACAGTGGGAGCATGGGCTGTGGGTAGGCATTTTGTGGCCAGCATGGGGGTTGGGGGTGGCAGTCGTCATTGTGCCTCCAGGTCATCTGCCTGATCCCTGAGCAGGAAGTGGGGAGGCCACAATGTGCCCAACACTGGGTGTCTGCAAGAAGGGCGTGGAACTGTCGAGAGCTTGGTGGCCTGTTCGCTTATGTGTTTGTCCACTCAGACAATATTTAGTCAGCATCTTTTTTTTTTTTTTTTTTAATGGAGTTTCACTCTTGTCACTCAGGCTGGATCTCAGCTCACTGTAACCTCTGCCTCCTGGGTTCAAGTGATTCTCCTGCCTCTGCCTCCCAAGTAGCTGGGACTACAGGTACATGCCACCATGCCTGGCAAATTTTGTATTTTTAGTAGAGACGTGGCTTCACCATGTTGGCCAGGCGGGTCTTGAACTCCTGACCTTAGGTGAACCACCTGCCTTAGCCTCCCAAAGTGCTGGGATTACAGGTGTGAGCCACTGCGCCCTGCCTAGCCAGCATCTTCCTGGTGGTCACCCTGCACCTAGGTCCGCAGAGGACCGTTCTAAGCACCTTACATGCACTAACTTGCATTTATTCTCACGGCAACCCTACGGGGTAAGCACAGGTCACAGTATTTTTGCTCAAGGTCACACGGCTGGTAAGTGGTAGGATCAGGGTCCGAAGCTAGGCCATCCTGTCAAGTCCATGACAAATGTCTTTCCTCCGTCTCGCACTGCCCTCAGTGCCAGCCTCCTGCCTGCTCCATCTGGAAGCACCATTGCATCTCCCCCTCTAGCCTTCACTCTTCCTGCTCACTGTGCCCCCCTTTCCTGACTCCCTTTCTCTTCTGACTAAACGAACTGATACCCTTCAACACTCAGCTGTATGGCCGGGCACAGTGGCTCATGCCTGTAATCCCAGCATTTTAGGAGTCCGACGTGGGTGGATCACTTCAGGTCAGGAGTTCAAGACCAGCATAGGCAATATGGTTGAAACCCCATCTCTACAAAAAATACAAAAATTAGCTGGGTATGGTGGCAAGTATCTGTAGTCCCAGTTGCTCAAGAGGGTGAGGCAGGAGGATCACTTGAGCCTAGGAGGTCAGGATGCAGTGAACTGAGATTGCACCACTGTACTCCAGCCTGGGCAACAACAGAAACCTTGTCTCAGAAAATAAAAAAGACTCAGCTGTGGCATCACCTCCTCCAGGAAGGCTTCCTTGATGACCTTCCTGTCTCAGGCTGGGTTAGGCTCCTCCACTGGCCTTTCTTGGTTTCTCCTGTCTGGCACTCATCCGTCTTTTTTTTTTTTTTTTTTTTTTAGATGGAGTCTTGCACTGTTGCCTGGGTTAGAGTGCAGTGGTGCGACCTCAGCTTACTGCAACTTCTGCCTCCCGGGTTCAAGCGATTCTCCCACCTCAGCCTCCCGAGTAGCTGGGATTATAGGTGCCCACCACCTCACCCGGCTAATTTTTGTATTTTTAGTAGAAATGGGGTTTCACCATCTTGGCCAGGCTGGTCTTGAACTCCTGATCTCATGCCTCCCAAAGCACTGGGATTACAGGTGTGAGCCACCGTGCCCAGCCTCATCCCTCTTGTTGCAAGCATCTGTTCATGTTTTTACATTCTCTACCAAACTGTGAGCCCCTTATCCTAACCTTGGCACCCACTGTGCCTGGCACCATTTGTGGTACAGAGGAGACCACTGGGGAATTTTGAATGGCCAAATCTTTTTTTTTTTTTTTTGAGACAGAGTCTTGCTTGTTGCCCAGACTGGAGTGGCATAATCTTGGCTCACTGCAACCTCTGCCTCCTGGGTTCAAGCAATACCCCCGCCTCAGCCTCCTGAGTAGCTCAGATTATAGATGTGTCCCAACATTCCCGGCTAACTTTTCATATTTTTAGTAGAGACAGAGTTTCACCATGTTGGCCAGGCTGGTCTTGAACTCTTGGCCTCAAGTGATCTGTCTGCCTTAGCTTCCCAAAGTGCTGGGATTAGAGGCATGAGCCCCCATGCCTGGCCAAATGACCAAATCTTGATCGTTCATAACCTTGTGAATAGTGGGTAAGTACTAGTATGTCTGTTTCACAGAGGAGGAAACTGAGGCCCAGAGAAGTGACATGATATCCCCAACTTACAGAACGAGTGGTGACAGAGTTGGGATTTGTTGGAATGGCCTCCATTTCAGAACAAGATCCTAGAAGAGTTTACCAAACCAGGACTTAAATTTTTTGAATTCTTTATCAATGGTTCAAAAGTCCGAAGGCACAAAGGATAGACGGTGAAAAGTCTCGCTTCTCTTCTGTCCCCAGCCACCCAAGTCTTCCTAGGGAAGCAGCTGGGGCGATCTGATCCTCCGGTGTCCTTCTGAGCAGCGTGTGTTCCCAGACAAACCCAGCATGTGTTATTCAGAGCCAGGTTTAAACCTAAGCCTGTGAGATACCCCATCTCACCTGGGGCTGCTCAGGGCTTGGGACAGGGCCCAGCATGCCCTGGCAGAGATATGGGACCACCAGAGGCCTCCATCGCCCTCTCCTGGGTCCCCTCCCACTGCTGCGGTACCTCCCCAGCGGAGCTGCCTGCCGGGGCTCTGCTCCCCAGGCTGCAGCAGAGGTTGGGCTCAGGCCCACAGTCCGGCCAGGCCACAATAGTGAAGGGCTGCTTTGGCTGAGGGGGCCTCCCTTCAGCTCAGTCTGACACTTGCTTTATTATTCCTCACAGAAGGGGCCCGGTGTGGGGAAACAGCCCCAGCAAAGGCGTGGGCTGGAATGAGGGGGTGCTGGGCAGGCGGGAAACCCAGGGGTACATCAGGGCAGGGCAGGGCAGGGATGCTGACTGTACCCCTTCCTGCTGGGAACCGAGTGGGCAGAAGAGCTCCCTGAGCAGCCTCTTTTCTCTGAAGATTAAGAGACAGTACCTGAAATTGCTTGGGGAATGCCGTAAGCGCTCCAGAAGTGGTGACTGGAGTGTTACAGTTATGGAGGCTCCGGGTTTTCCCACCACCCTAGACTTCCATGTGACTCCTGAAAAGCAGAGACACAAGACAGTTGGAGCCTGTGCTCAGGACTCAAACCCAGTTCCTTCCCCTGTGTGCATAAATATTAGGGGGGATTGTTGTTGTTACTCTTTTTTTTGTTTTTTGAGACAGAGTTCCTGTCTTGTGACCCAGGCTGGAGTACAGTGGTGCTATCTCGGCTCACCACAACCTCCGCCCCCCAGGTTCAAGCAATTCTCCTGCCTCAGCCTCCTGAGTAGCTGGGATTACAGGCATGTGCCACAACACCGGGCTAATTTTTTATATTTTTAGTAGAGACAGGGTTTCACTGTGTTACCCAGCATGATCTCAAACTCCTGACCTCAGGTAATCCGCCCACCTTGGCCTCCCAAAGTGCTGGTATTACCTCACACAGCCATTTTAAATGTGGGGGAAAAAAAAAAAAAAGGATTTGAATTGGTTGCCCTATCAGTCAGAAAAACAGAACCCACTTTAGGGGGTCCAATGGAGGAAATTCTAAAAAGCCAAACAGGAGGCTGGACAGAGGCAGGTTACCCAAACCCATGGCCTGGGACCACAGAGGTCTGTCTGAAGGGAACTGGAAATATGAAGAAGACCCAGCCTATTCCCAAAGGCTGGAAAAACCCAGGCCTCTTCCCACCTGCCAGTTTCCATTGAGTGCCTCCCATTAGCTGGACCTAATCAAGAGCCGGTTTGCGAAGGAGCTTGAGAAATGTAGTTTGCAGGGTTCAGTTCTCCCACCTTTCCAGATGGCGAGCAGAGGAGGGACAGCAAGTGGATGTAAAATGATGCAGCAGGCAGGATGTGGTGGCTCATACCTGAAATCCCAGCACTATGGGAGGCCAAGGCGGGAGGATCACTTGAGGCCAGGAGTTTGAGACCAGCCTGGGCAATATAACAAGACCCTCCTCTTTACAAAAAAAATTTTTTAATTAGCCAGGCATGGTGGCACATACCTATAATCCTAGCTACTAGGAGACTGAGGTGAAGAATGGCTTGAGCCCAGAATTTGAAGTTTTAGTGAGCTATGATCATACCACTGCAATAGAGCAAGACCCTGTTTCTAAAAAAAAGAAAAGAAAAACATCATATGGCAAATGAGGGTTATAGCTGTCAACATGAAATGACTGGGCCATTTAGCATAAAAATCTGGATTTATAGATTCTCCTGAAACACCAAAGGCTCTCCCTTGAGTCCACCTTCTTAGCCTAGTTCTGCTGTGTGCATTGACCTTGGGGAGCCCTGCTGAGGAGTCCTGAGAAGCCTACAGGGTGAGGGGCATGAGGGGACCCCATATCCTTCAGGGTGGGATCAGAGGAGGAGAAGCCGTGAGGATCCTCAGCCAGGTGGGCTGAGCAGGCAGGGCCAGGGGATCTGGAGGGTCACAGTCAATTTCTGGAGAGAACACGTTGGGGCTCTGGAACTGTGGGGACTTTCCTGCTGTAGCTTTTAGAGACTGTCTGGTCTTACACAACTGTGAGGGTTATGTTTGTTCGTTTTAGTTTTCTTTCTGACACTGTCAGGCCCTGTGTTCTAAATTTTCCAGGAAAGCCCAACGTGTGACCTGATGGCAGACTAACCTGGAGGAAGAGGTGGGGCAGCCTGGAGTTTTCCTCTGGACATCCTGAGAGGGATACTGAAGCACTCAGGAGGGGTCTCAGAGCTGCCCAAGCTCACACACGCGGTTTGAGAAGAGCTGCGCTTAGACCACAGGCCTCTTGGCTCCTGGGAAACTGAGAGCATCGGCTGGAGTTCATCAGACAGGGGCAAGTCCCAACCGCAGCTCAGTGACCTCAGACGAACCCCCTCACCTCACAGGACCAGGTTATTCTTATTAGAAGGGGATGCCAATACTGCCCTCTCACAGTTGTAGGAAGGGGAAGAGGGTCTCTGCTTGTCAGGTGCCCACACAGTGCCTGGGAGCTGAGGTTGTCATGGTTACCAAGAGGCCAGTCTTGGGGCTGCCATGATGACCTGGGCTGCCCTCCCATTCCCAAGAAGGGGAGAACTCCCCAGATTCCCTACTCTGCTCTTCTTGCTCCCTCCCAAGCCACACACAAGCAGGAATTTGTCCTCTGCGGGAATGTGCAGGGAGAAAGTCTCCCTTTTTGATGAGACAGCGATGAGGTGATGTCTGGTTTTTTATATCCCCATTGCTGAACTGGTGCCAGACTTAACAGTCCAGGCTGGATTCCATTAGCCATATTTGTCCTCTGGGCTCACAGCCCTGCGGGATCTTCTGGGGGTCCATCTTGAGACCCTCCAGTTGGGAAGAAGTTGGCTGGGGCAAATGAATGCAGTTCTAAGACCAACCACTTCCACTGGGGACTCAGGCAGGGTCCTTGAAAGCCTGATTCACTCAAGTCTTTTCTTTAAAAAATAAAAAACAATTTGATCTTTTTTTTTTCTTTTTACCAAAATAAAAAACCCTTTGAAGTTTAGGAACTATACCTAAACCATGTTGAAGGCTAAATCAGAGGCCTAGATAGGTTAATACCTTTCCCAGACGAACCCAGTAGTGAATGTAAATGTCAGATTGATCAGTTGTGGATTGGACTTCAGAAGCTGTAGTCCTCATTACTATTCTGGGATGATGGTGATGGTCCACTCCATTTGCTCAACAGAAGGATCAATGGCCTGGAGAATTTCAGATAGTTGGTGATAATATTATAGGATTATATTTTAAATGGGAAAGACACTTTTAAAAGTAACACACATGTTAAATACATTAAGGCCGGGTACAGTGGCTCATGCCTGTAATGCCAGCACTTCAGGAAGCTGAGGTGGGAGGATCACTTGAGCCTAGAAGTTCTAGATCAGCCTGGGCAAGACAGTGAGACCCCATCTCTTTTTCTTCTTCTTCTTTTCTTTTTTTTTTTTTTTTGAGACGGAGTTTCGCTCTTGTTACCCAGGCTGGAGTGCAATGGTGTGATCTCGGCTCACCGCAACCTCCGTCTCCTGGGTTCAGGCAATTCTCCTGCCTCAGCCTCCTGAGTAGCTGGGATTACAGGCATGCACCACCATGCCCAGCTAATTTTTTGTATTTTTGGTAGAGACGGGGTTTCACCATGTTGACCAGGATGGTCTTGATCTCTTGACCTTGTGATCCACCCGCCTCGGCCTCCCAAAGTGCTGGGATTACAGGCTTGAGCCACCGCGCCCGGCCTTCTTTTCTTTTTAATCTGCAGATGAATTACTTGATTAGAGATGACCCCATCTCTAAAAAAAGAAAAAATTAGCTGGTGTGTTATTGTGCATCTATAGTCTCAGCTACTTGGGAGGCTGAGGTGGGAGGATTGCTTGAGCCCAGGAGGTTGAGGCTGCAGTGAACTGTGATCATGCCACTGTGCCTAGGTGACAGTGCAAGACCTTGTCTCAAAAAACAAAAAATTCACATGCAAAAATGCCTGAGGTACACAGTGAAAGCTCTTGAAATCCTACTGTCTAGGAGATAAGCACTAGAGCCACTTACATAGACTTTTTCCAGATTTTTCTATGCATTTATAAGTATATGTTAAAATCTTTGTGTTTTTTTTTTTATGTTTTGTTTGTTTGTTTTTAAAGACAGGGTTTCACCATATTGGTCAGGCTAGTCTCGAACTCCTGACTTCCGGTGATCCACCCGCCTCAGCCTCCCAAAGTGCTGGGATTTCAGGTGTGAGCCACCGCACCCGGCAAAATTTATGTTTTTATTTATTTATTATTTATTTATTTATTTATTTATTTTTTTGGGGATGGAGTTTCGCTCTTGTTACCCAGGCTGGAGTGCAATGGCGCGATCTCGGCTCACCACAACCTCCGCCTCCTGGGTTCAGGCAATTCTCCTGCCTCAGCCTCCTGAGTAGCTGGGATTACAGGCACGTGCCACCATGCCCAGCTAATTTTTTGTATTTTTAGTAGAGACGGGGTTTCACCGTGTTGACCAGGATGGTCTCGATCTCTTGACCTCGTGATCCACCCGCCTCAGCCTCCCAAAGTGCTGGGATTACAGGCTTGAGCCACTGCGCCCGGCCCTTATGTTTTTAAAAGATTAACACTATACATTCTGTTTTGCAGCTTGCTTTTTGCAAATAACAAATGTGGAAATTCTTTACCTGGCACATTCATGACAAACCTGGTGGGAGAAGTGGCTGGTAAAGTTTTATGCAAAATTGCGTGTTGTGTGTAAGTGAGCATTTTTTAGATATAGCGACTGCAATTCTCATCAGAATCTTAGGAAAGATTCAGACCCAGGAGCCTTGATTTTCAGATTGGGAAGGGACTCTGGCGAGGTGAATGGGGAGCTCAGTCCTCGGGGTGGCCTTGAAGGATGACGACAAGAATGCTGCAGTGGCCTGGCCCTGGGCATCCTGCCCTGGCCTTGGAGAGGAGCTGCATCCTGCAGAGCCAGAAGGAGGACAAGGGAGTCAGCCTGCCCAAGTACCAGGCTGAGCCTCGGCAGTCCCTGCCAGGAGAAGACTTAGAGCTGCCGGGAGCTTGGGAAGGTTACAGAGAAAAGCCTCCTGCAGCGCTTGGGGAGGACGCTGCCTGCCACACCTGCCGTGGGCCTGGCTCTCCAGGCTCAGGGAAGCCTCTGAGGGTCAGGCATGGGGCATAGGGGCAGGGGGCAGAGGGCGCTCTCCGGGCCAGGACCCTGGCGCACCTAGCACACAGACCTTGGGGAGGGCGCTGAACACAGGACTTGGCTGTATTTTGTTACTGTCGCTTTGAGTATTAGCAATGCAGTAGGGTGGGCTTTATGGATCTCAGACTGCCCAGGACTTTTCTAGCTGCTCTGAGAGGCTCTAAGATGACCAAGAACAACAGCTACCACCAGAAAGTGGGTTTCTCATGTAAGCCCTGTGCTAAGCACTGTATGTGTACACACCAGATTTTAATTTGCCGTGGGGAGGTCCTGTTATTCTCGCCCCTTTACAGCAGCCTCCAGGAAGCCAAGAGACCTGGCCAAGGTCCATGGGATCAGCAGGTGTTGATTTAATCCTGGTACCCCCAGTTCCAGAGTCCCTAGCCTCAACCACAGGCACTCTCCTCTGCCCCCTGGGGAGAGACTGCCACCCTTACTCAGGGATGACCTCTGTGAGATGAGACCAGAAGGTTTTTGTTCTGTTTCAACCTTTTTTTTTTTGAAATGGAGCTTTTGCTCTGTTGCCCAGGCTGGAGTGCAGTGGCGTGATCTCAGCTCACTGCAAACTCCACGTCCTGGGATTAAGTGATTCTCCTGCCTCGCCTCCTGAGTAGCTGGGATTACAGGTGCATCCCACCATGCCCAGCTAATTTTTTGTAGTTTTAGTAAAGACGGAGTTTTACCATGTTGGCCAGGCTGGTCTCAACTCTTGACCTCAGGTGATCCACCCACCAACCTTGGTTCCAAAGTGCTGGGATTACAAGTGTGAGCCACTGTGCCTGGCCTCAACCTTTTTTTTTTTTTTTTTTTTTTTTTAAATCACGAGTACATGTCACTTCTATAGTTAAGAGGAAAAATAGGACCAGGCGTGGTGGCTCACACCTGTAATCCAAGCTCTTTGGAGGCCAAGGCGGGCGGATCACCTGAGGTCGGGAGTTCAAGACCAGCCTGACCAACATGGTGAAGCCCCGTCTTTAAAAAAAGAAAAAAAAAAGAGGAAAAACAGGCGGGGCACAGTGGCTCATGTCTGAATCCCAGCACTTTGGGAGGCTGAGGCGGGAGGATCACGAGGTCACGAGCTGGAGACCAGCCTGACCAACATGGTGAAACCCCATCTCTACTAAAAATACAAAAATTAGCCAAGCATGGGTGGTGTGCACCTGTAATCCCAGCTATTCAGGAAGCTGAGGCAGGAGAATCACTTGAACCTGGGAGGCAGAGGTTGCGGTGAGCCAAGATTGTTCCACTGCACTCCAGCCTGAGCAATAGAGAGAGACTCCGTCTCCAAAAAAAAAAAAAAAAGGAAAAACAAACTTTTTCTAAACATCTATATTTTGGAAATGATTAGCAGGAGTCCAGCTGAGTCCAGGGTGCTGCAGGCCTCCTGCCTGTGGGGACCTCTCCTAGGTACCACCTTTCTCAGACCCATTCTTAGGGCTGGGAAAAACGTCTTCCACAGTGTTCTTGGCTTCAAAGCGAGCAGGCTTCCCAGATAAGTAAGCTCATAGGCTGGGGGGGGTGAGGTGGGATGGGGAGTGGCAGGAAGACCTTCCAGGCCAGGTGTCCAGCCTAGAAAAAGGCTCAGAAGTGTGCATGAGTGTGAGCTGTTGTTGGGAATAAGAAGATTGTCCCAGGAGAGCCCAGTATGCACTAGAGGCTTATAAGAAATACTGCTGGGGGCCAGGCATGGTGGCACTCACCTGTAATCCCAGCACTTTGGGAGACCAAGGTGGGCAGATCACCTGAGGTCAAGAGTTTGAGACCAGACTGGCCAACATGGTGAAATCCCGTCTCTACCAAAAATACAAAAATTAGCCAAGAGTGGTGGTGGGTGCCTGTAATCCCAGCTACTTGGGAGGCTGAGACACAAGAATCGCTTGAACCTGGGAGGCAGAGATTGCAGTGAACCAAGATCATGCCACTGCACCCCAGACTGGGCAACACAGCAAGGCTCTGTCTCAAACACAAAAAAATGGCTGGCGCAGTGGCTCACGCCTGTAATCCCAGCACTTTGGGAGGCTGAGGCGGGTGGATCATGAGGTCAAGAGACCATCCTGGCCAACATGGTGAAACCCTGTCTCTACTGAAAATATAAAACAATTAGCTGGGCATGGTAGTGTGCGCCAGCTATTCAGGAGACTGAAGCAGGAGAATTGCTTGAACCCAGGAGGTGGAGGTTGCAGTGAGTTGAGATTATGCCACCGCACTCCAATCTGGCAACAGAGCAAGACTGTCTCAAAAAAAACCCAAACAAACAAAAAAGGGTGTGGTGGCTCATGCCTGTAATTCTAGCACTTTGGAAGGCTGAGGTAGATGAATCATGAGGTCAGAAGTTCAAGATCAGCCTGACCAAGATGGTGAAACCCTGCCTCTACTAAAATACAAAAAAAAAGTAGCCAGGCATGGTGGCGGGCACCTATAATCCCAGCTACTTGGGAGGCTGAGGCAGAGAATTGCTCGAACTCAGGAGGCAGAGGTTACAGTGAGCCGAGATCATGCTTGTGCACTCCAGCCTGGGCAACAGAGCAAGACTCCGTCTCAAAAAAAAAAAAAAAAAGAAATACTGCTGGACACCTGGGTGAGGTGGCATGCACTATAGCCACAGCTACTTAGGAGGCTGGATGGGAGAGTCACTTGAGCCCAGGAGTTTGAGGTTACACTTTATGATCTTGCCTGGGTAACACAGTGAGACCTTTTCTCTTAAAAAAAAAAAGAAAGAAAAAAGGAATCTTGCTTTGCATATGTAGCTCTTGGGCGGGATGTCTCTTTATTCTCACCTGATTTCATTTACAGTGTCCAGGCCTAGGGCCCAGAGTGACTTTACCTGATGGAGCCTCCATTGCCTCACCTAGAAAATGGATATGCTCGCCTCTGCCCTATTGGCCTCCTGAGGGGTTAAAGGTATTCTGTGACTGTCAAGGGCTTTGCCAGTATCAGATATTATTGCTTGGATTCATATGAAGCTGGGCACACAGTAGGTACTCCATAATTTTTTTTTTTTTTTTTTTTTTGAGACAGAGTCTCGCTCTGTAGCCCAGGCTGGAGTGCAGTGGTTCAGCCTTGGCTTACTACAACCTCCACCTCCCAGGTTCAAGAGATTTTCCTGCCTCAACTTCCCGAGTAGCTGGAACTACAAGTGTACACCACTACACCCAGCTAACTTTTGTATTTTTAGCAGAGATGTAGTTTCACCATGTTGGCCAGGCTGGTGTTGAATTCCTGACCTCAAGTGATCTGCCCGCCTTGGCCTCCCAAAGTGTTGGGATTACAGGTGTGAGCCACCGTGCCCTGCCAAATATTTTTTAAATAGTTGGTTTTTTCCTTCTTCGTGTTTGTTGTGGACAATTTAGGAAATGTATATAAGCGAAAAAGAATATGAGTTTATCCATGACCCCACTCCTGCTAACATGTGGTTCTGTGTTTGTCTGTGTGTACTTGTAGAACTGGAATTACACCGCATGGTCTTGGCTTTTATTTATTAATTTTTTTTTTTTTTTGAGACAGGATCTCACTGTGTTGCCCAGGCTGGAGTGCAGTGGTGTGATCTCGGCTTACTGCATGCAGCCTCTACCTCCCAGGTTCAAAGTACCCTCCCACCTTAGCCTCCCAACCAGCTGGGACTACAGGCACATGCCACCACACCCAGCTAATTTTTCATAGAGATGAGGTCTCCCTATGTTGTCTAGGCTGCTCTTGAACTCCTGGGCTCAAGGAATCTGCCTGTCTCAGCCTCCGAAAGTGCTGGGATTACAGGCGTGAGCCACCACACCCAGCCTATTTATTAACTTTGAAAAACTGAAGTAAAATTCATATATCGTAAAAGTATTAATTGTAAAGTATACAACTAAATGGCACTGAGGACATTTACAGCCTTTTGGAACCATCACCTCCCTAATTCTGAAACGTTTCCATCACCCCAAAGGAACCCTGTTCCCACTAGCAGCCGCTCCTCACCCCTCCCTTCCCCACTCCCCACCCCTCCCTTCCCCACTCCCTAGCAATCGGCTTCCTGTCTCTATGGATTTACCTACTCTGGGCATTTCATAAGAATGGGGTCACACAATATTTGTCCTTTTGTGTCTGTCGTCTTTCGCTTCGCCTAATGCCCTCAAGGCTCATCCATGTGGTGGCATGTGTCCGCTCTTCATTCCTTTTCAAGGCTGAATAATGCTCCATTTGTCTGGATAGACCACATTGTGTCTGTCCATTTATCAGTTGATGGGTGTTTGAGTTGTTTCCACCTTTTGGATGTTGTATGTTAAGGTTTGGAACCTACTTTTTTCTTAACAAAAATATGTGGCAAACATCTCTCGTGGCAGTAGATCATGTTTATATCCTTGCATTTCACGCATGTACCCATCTGCTGTGTGGCTGGACCATGTGGGTAAACTCTCTGGAGGCCTGTGTGAGCTAAAGAGGACACTCTGTCCCACACGCAGTGGGTCCTGCTGGCCTTTGTGGCACCACCTCTCCCATAGGCATCAGGGCTCTGGTGCTGACTCTTCCCCTGCAGGCCCACTCAGTGGTGCCCAGCCAGGCTACTGCACAGCATCTCATTCATCTATGCCAGAATGATGGCTGCTCAGCTAGCCATGAGGGGGTAGCACACCCTCTGCCTGTCCTGCAGCGTGTCTGAAGCCCACCAAGACCCCTTCATGTTGCGGACACTGCATTAAGCACATGCCCAAGAACCTGGGCTTCATGTAGGAGCTACCTGGCCACCTGCCCACCCATACCCTGGAGCCAGCCTGTGCTGCCTTCCCGCCTGAGGCTAACTTCATACCCTGAATGTGGGGAGACCCAGAGATCCTGACACTGGTTTTTTTTGACACAGAGACTTGCTGTGTCACCAGGCCGGAGTGCAGTGTCGAGATCTCGGCTCACTGCAACATTTGCCTCCGGGGTTCAAGCGATTCTTCTGTCTCAGCCTCCTGAGTAGCTGGAACTACAAGTGCACACCACCACGCTCTGCTAGTTTTTATATTTATATTTATTTATTTTTAAAGATGGGGTTTCACCATGTTGGCCAGGATGGTCTTGATCTCTTGACCTTTGATCTGCCCGCCTCAGCTTCCCAAAGTGCTGGGATT